AGGCCTCTTTTTATTTTATGATTTAACGTGGAGGGAGGAGAAGCAAGGCCAGCCCCGACAAGCATCATGCTTAGGTTTGGCTGGGCGGGTAGGGAGAGCGCTGAGGTTCGTTTCTCCCGTCATTCAGCCATTTCTGTTTTTAACACTTGGGTTGAGCACACAGAAGAGAGTTAGAGATTTGACAACCAAAAAATGGAAAAGTCCTAAGAGAGTCCAGTCCCCTTAGACAAAGCCCGAAGACACGCAGCAGACGGATGTTTGTCACGTCTAGGGTGGAGCTGGAGGCCCAGGACGTCTGAAGAGCTTTCACAGACCAGAGGAAGGGACAGGGCACCTGGGGAGCAGCCGCGAGGGTGGGAGCCGCCCGGAGGAGGACTCACAACGGCCCAGGGTAACATGCGAAGAGCCGGGCTCACGGGCAGTCGGGGGAAACACGGGGGAAACCGGCACAGCCTGTGCGGAAGGACGTTTGGGAGAATCTATCAAATGACCCGTGAATACGACCAGCGGTCCCACCTCCGGGGCCTGGCCTCCAGATGCGCGTGCATCTGTAACCCACACGTGCACGGTGAGTCATGCCGGCCGTTTGTGGGAGCAAGAGGAGCCGCCTCCCCAGTTAAAAGTGAGCCGCGCAGACGGCAGGCGCAGCACCGACTCAGCTCCCCACGCACGGGGTGCCAGCTGCGGACCGCGGTGGTGCAGCCCGTGTTTGGAAAAGTGAAAACGCTCTGTTCCCACGTGCACGGGTCACTGAAGCCACAGGCGCAGAGGATGACGCACAGCCGACGTGACCCACGGCACCTGGGAGACCAGCGAGGAGGCCGATCCAGTCCCTGCGTGGCTGGCAGCGACACGAGTCAGATTCTGGATCTATTTAACGGGGAGCCGCTGGGCTTGGCTACGAGTGCGTGTAGGTGGGAGAGGGGCCAAGATGGCATGACCTGGGCCTGACGGGGTGCCTGGCGCCGCACTGTCTGGGGAACGCGAAGAGCCAGAGTACAGCTCAGACACCTGGGCTGGTGGAGGGGGGCGGGTGGAGAGAGGGGAGCGAGGACAGAGATGATACGTGAGTGATAAATGGCTGAGTGGAGCATCAATCGTGAGCTGACTTAGTGGGAAGGGGCAGCCCAGGGACCCCCGAATCGGCGAGGGCTGGGTTACACCCGAGATGCCCGTTCGGCTGCAAGTGTCCATGCCAAGGAGGCAGCGGGACATGGGAGCCGGGGGCCAGGACGTGTCAGGCCCGGGGACTGGGTGAGCTCACTGGGAGGCGAGTGCGGACAGAGGTGGCCAGGGCAGGGTAGGGCCGGCCACATCCAGGTAGGGAGGCGAGGAGGGGGGAGCAGCGGCTACCAGGCGGGGCTGCAGGGGTGGGGAGACATCTACGGCAGGGAGGCCCTCGGCCCAGGCAGGAGGCACCTCAGGGGCTGGGAATCCAGAGGTGACGGCTGAGAACTGCCCATGGGCCCTGCAGCAGGACGGCCCAGGGACCCTGTCGGTGCAGCCTGCGGTCCCACATGAGCACAGACACCCCTCTCGGCGGCTCTCGAAGTGCACACGTGGATGGGCCCGTGCAGCGTCTCCCTGAGCACAGACTCAGGCGACAGCGGGGCCAGGGACACGGAGATCCTGTCCCGGCCCCTGGAGTCCCTGCTCGGCCATATCTACCCCAGGACCCCAGGGCCAGCACGAGAGCAAGACTATGGGAGGACCCGCAGGGGGCGCTGCACCACTGGGTGACGGGAGTAGGCTTAAAGGTCCGGCTCAGCGTGTCAGACTTTATTCATACCCCTCCCCACTGTGTGTGTGGGGAGCGGGGGCGTCCAGACTGTAGTCCTGAGCGCAGGATGGGGGTTCGGGTGGAGTCCGCGGCCCTGCCCTGGGCTCCCGGCCCGGCTGGGCTCACACATGCTGCCTGCGGTGCCGCAGCACCTCCGTGGGCGTGAACAGAAAGTCCCTCTGACAGGCCTCGCAGTGGTAAGGTCTCTGCAGAGCAGATGTCTTCTGCTGGGGCTCGGGGGCGGCTTCCTCAGCCCCTGAGAGAGAGGAGAAGGGAGGCTGAGGGGGTGCTCCGCAGCAAGCTCTCACCCACCCAAACCCCGGGCACCGAGGGGAGTCTGGTTCTGTCTCCTCCAGGAAGCCCTCCTTGATTTACACATGTGCACAGACTGAGAGAGCCCTGGGGTAGTCCGTGCACTGCAGCAGCAGCTCGGGTCTGCCTGCTACAGCATCCCTGGCTAACAACAGAGCGGATGCAGCTGCGGTAGCGACAGCTGTGGGACAGAAAAGAACAAGAGACACAGCCACAGAGAGACAGAGGCAGACGGAAAGAAATGAGAAAGTGGCGGCCCTCCAGGCCCTCCCCAACCCGGGCTCCGGGGTCTCTGTGACCAAAACCAGAGGCTCCAGAGAAGGCTCAGATACACAGGAAACCACCCTGGGACGGACAGATGCCCCGCCCCCCACGGCCACGGCCTTACCTGGGGGGCCGGCCGGCGGGGCCTCAGGGCAGGTGTTCTCGTGGGCGATGCGCTCCAGGGGCGTGAGAGGCATGTGCAAGCCGCAGTGGGGGCAGGTCCAGAAGGTGCGGAGACAGTCGCTGTACAGATCTGTGTCGCTCTGCAGGGGGCATGCTGTGTCAGGGCCTTGCCCTCGCCCCCCAACAGCCAGTCTAGGTCCCTCCTCAGAACCCCCCGGGGGGCAGGCCCCATTCTGCAACTACCCCTGGACTAGAGTGAAATGTGGTGGGGGGCTCCCTAAAATCCCACGTTCGGGGGCAGGAGGGTGAGGGGCCAGGGCGCCCAGGCTCACCGTGAGGCAGTTGTAGGTGAGGAAGTCAGTGACTGCGTAGCCCCCTTTGGTGGGGTGGGGGGACAGGGGAGAGCTGCCAAAGAGGCCGGGGAGACTGGGGGCAGTGGTGATGGTCTGGGGTCCCACGTAGAGGTTCTGGGCTTCAAGCCCCGTGAGCCGCCGGAGAGTGTAGGGGACCTGCGGAAAGGGACAGGAGAGAGTGGGCCGCTCCGCACCTCGCTTCCCGCAGCCGCAGCCGGGGGACCAGAGCAGACGCCGGCCGTGTTCCCTGGAAGCTGCCAGGCCTCCACTTCCCCATCCCTCCGGCTTCAACTGCAAAGACGGAACAGAGTTTAGGAACTTTCTTGTTTGGCTTGAAGAGCAGAAAGTCAGACACTAGAAGACCGAGGACAGGGAATTTAAGACACACCCACGGCATGACTGGCCCCAGTTCTTTGAAAAGGATCTCCCAGAGGTTAGCTTCCTGTCAGGATTAAGACGAGGAGCAACTGACTGGCTTCCCGGTTTAGCCGTTAGACTTGAATGTGGAGATAATGCTGAAAAGCACAGGACGCGGTGTCTGTTAACCCAAAACTGACAATGCAGCTGCGAATGCAGGGCCGTCGGTCAGTTTGGATGTAATAATCCTGACGTTAGGCTGGTGTCATGGCTGCGGCTCACCTCCTTCAGTGCCGCGTCCTGATGGTTACCTGGCCACGTTTAAGGCAACGCACATTTTGGTCCAGGAGCGCCTCACATAGGACGCGGCTGCTGCAGCAAATCAAACGGGAGAGGGACTGCCGGTTGCCTAGACCCGTGGTCGGCAAACCGCGGCTCGCGAGCCACATGCAGCTCTTTGGCCCCTTGACTGTGGCTCTTCCACAAAATACCACGTGTGGGTGCACGTACAGTGAGATTGAAACTTCGTGGCCCATGCGCAGAAGTTGGTTATTTTGTGGAAGAGCCACACTCAAGGGGCCAAAGAGCCGCATGTGGCTCGCGAGCCGCGGTTTGCCGACCACTGGACAAGCACGGGCGATGCCGCTCCTCATGGGGCTGCTCCCGTCTGCGCCTGTGGCCCATGGACGCACAGGAATGAGCATAGCAGCTGCTCGGGCAGTTACTGCCGATCCAGAGGCCGGGCCGGGCAGGCGGAAGATGGATGTTTTAGGAGGAGGATGTCAGCCCCTCGCCCACTTAGCACACTTGGGAACCATTCACGTCCCGGTCTGCGCTTAGAAATCAAACATCACATTTTCAAGGGCAGAATCCCAGAAAACTGACTATATTTTAGAGATTTGCCATCATTGCTTTTTCTTTAATAAAGTTCTGGGAAAGTTGAAAAAAGAAAAGAAAAAACAGAGATTCTGGGAGACCTTATCAGAGCACCAGGGTCCAGCTGTGCTGAAGCCCGCCCTGGGCTTTTCAGTTATGGGGCCCACTGCTAAGCCAGTCACAACAGGTTTCAGACGCTCATGACCAGAGCCTTGTCTACAGCAGGCCCTGGTGTCCCAGGCCCCGCCCCTGCTCCCTCCACTCGTGGGACCACATCCAGACCACAGAGCTGGCCTTTAAGTCTGGCAGCCGTGCCCCTCCTTCCCCCAGCACGTCAGCCTGTTCCTCTTTCCCTGGTTCACTGGGTCCCTCCACTCCTCCAGGGAGGCATCCTGGATTACACCCTTCTCCCCACCCCTGCCACAGCAGTACCAGCAGAATCATTCTCGACTCCCACTTAAGAGGGGACTGGGGTTGAACCTGCTCTCCATGAGTAGGCACCTCACAGCCCCCCTCACACCCGCAAGTCCGACCTGTACCCGGGTAGCTGCACTGCGCACACAGGAGCTACTCATAAGCATGAATCAGGGCTATGGCTAACAGTGCGGCCTCTGGAGCCAGGCCCGGGTCAGATCCTGGCTCCAGCCCTTACCAGGTGTGACCCTGGGCTTGTCATCACCGCCCTGGAAGCTGTGGTGGACGGGGCACCCCTGGCCGAGGGTGGCGGCGGGTACCTTGGCTGCTGTGAACTGCAGCAGCTCCCTGCTCAGGGCCACCACCTCCTGGCGGTTGACCGGAGCCCCCTCCTCTTCCTCCTCTTCCTCTTCTTTCGCCGGCTGCCCCCGACGTGCCTGATGGGCCAGCTGCCGGTCCAGGGCACTTTCCCAGCGGGCACGGAGCCGCAGGGAGGCCGCCAGGAGCCGGACTGCACTTTCACTGTCTGCAAGCTGGAGCTCCAGCCAGCCATCAGCCACCAGGCGGGAGCAGTCACCATTGGTGTCCAGGGACCGACTGAACAGCAGGAGGGACTGGAAGAGACGGGCAGAAAACAGGCAGTGGGTGAGGGGCCCCTACACGCTGGGTTCCGGCCCAGACATTCATTCATCCATCCACCTGTCCATCCATGTATCTGTCCATCAACCTGTCCATCTATCCACCTGTCCATCTACCTGTCCTTCTAGCCACCTGTCCATCCATCTACCTGTCCTTCTAGCCACCTGTCCATCCATCTACCTGTCCTTCTATCCACCTGTCCATCCATCTACCTGTCCTTCTATCCACCTGTCCGTCCATCCACCTGTCCATCCATGTATCTGTCCATCCATCAACATGTCCATCTATCTACCTGTCCATCCATCCACCTGTCCTTCTATCCAACTGTCCATCCATCTACCTGTCCATCCAATGTACCCATCAGTTCCCCCACCCATCCACCTGTCCAACCAATTACCATCCATCCATCCATCCACTCCTGCCAACAAACATTTACTACACGCCTACTCTGTGCCAGGCACTCTTCCAGGTGCTAGAGATACGACTGTGAACAAGAAGACCGAGTCCCTGCCCCCATGGAGCGGACATGCCACTTGGAGAGACGGATGAATAAAGAGCAGAGTGAAGCAGAGAGTGTTCTAGAAGGAGAGTAGTCATTACCCGAGGTGGGGAAGACAGCTGAGGGGACGGCCACATCTTCACAGGTGGGGTTACATGCATGTCAGCCCTCCTCAAACGATGTCCCTAACGCTCTATACACATGTTGCCCTCAAATATACAAATAAATAGTAGATGCTAATTAATGGGATGCATGCTGAAGTGCTTAAGGGTGAAGGGCACTGATGTCAGCAACTTACTCTGAAATGCAGCAAAAATTGAAAAGAAAACTCACCTACTGAAATGGTGAGGACAGGTGTGTCATCAAGCAAAACACCAATGTCCTTTGGCCCCAGCCGGCTTGGCTCAGGGATAGAGCATCAGCCTGTGGACCGAAGGGTCCTGGGTTCGATTCTGGTCAAGCGCATGTACCTGGGCTGCAGGCTCCTCCCTGGCCCGGGCCCTGGTCGGGGCTCGTGCAGGAGGCAACCAACTGATGTGCTTTTCTCACATCGATGTCTCTCTGTCTTTCCCTCTCTCTTCCACTCTCCCTAAAAATCAATGAAAAAATATCCTCAGGTGGAGATTAACCAAAAAGACCAACATCCTTTGAAGAATCTTGGAAACGAGGGTATGAGTGCTCCCCATACTCTTCTTTCAACTCTTCGGTGTGAGAATCACAGTATGTTGGGGAAAATTCTAGGACGTGTGGGGGGAGAGGATGTTGGGCTGGGAGATGGCCAGGAGGGTTCAACATCCATTCTGTCTACCCGCGTGTGTGTCTAAAATCCTCCACCACGAACCCCCTGTGCAGGGGACGGCGGGGAGCCTGCCCTCCAGGCAGCGTCTCCACCGGCAAATCCTGTGTTCCCCCCGGGGCCCGCTGACGGCCATTGCTCTGCCCTGGCCCCGCTCCGCTCTCCCCAGCACTGACAGGAGCGTCTGCCTCATCCTTGACCTTTATTTCTGTTTCTGTTCATTGTCTGCCTCCCCCACTTGCATGTGAGCCCCATGAACACAGGGAGCTTTGCTGCTTCTGATCACAAACACCCAGTACCTAGACAAGTAATTAATGCCTGGTGCAAGGTAGGTGCTCAATAAATGAATGAATGAGCACAACTGAGCAGCTCAGAGCTCAATGCAAATCACAGTAATGCTCTGGCCAGTGTCATTCAGTGGTTAGAGCATTGCTCACACACTGAAGGGTCATGGGTTCGATTCTCGGTCCAGGGCAAGTACCTGGTTTGTGGGTTCCCTCCCCGCCCCTGGTCTGGGTGCGCGTAGGAGGCAACCAGTTGATGTGTCTCTCACACTGATGTTTCTCTCTCTCCTCCTCCCGTTCTCCCCTTTACTCTCTGAAAAGCAATGAAAAAATACCCTCAGGTGAGGATTAACAACAACAAAATAAATCACAGCAGCAGCAAAATCTACTAAGTTCAGGGAACCTGAAGGGTTTCTCTCTTCCCAGGACATTCCCTGGGGGCGAAGCGAGGGGGTCCTGGAAATGGGACACCGGCCCTGGCTCACTGTGTGGCTTAGGCAAGTGGCAGCCCCCCGGCCCCCACAGAGGCCGTCTTCACCCCTATAGTGAGAACACACCAGTCCTAGAACCGCAAGCTGGCGTGCAGTGAGCCGCGAGGTGTGGCAGCTACAAGCGCAAATACAAGCACGTCTGCAACCTGAGCACGTCTTCGGCTTCCACCCATATCCAGCCGCCGTCCCCTCCTTCTGCCTCCTTGCTGGGCTCCCTCTTCTGACCGTGTCCGACTCTGTCCCAGCTCTGCTCCGCACCCTTGCGGGGAGGGGGGCGGGCTCCAGTCTCACCCGCCTCCTGACTTCCTCTCTCTCTGACCTCTCTCTCTGACCTCACCTCTGGCAACTCTTCTCCTCACTGACTAACTGCTCCAGCTGTTCCCTGTGCAGGCCAAGCTTGCGTGTGCCTCAGGGCCTTTGCGCTTGCTGCTTGGACACTTCTCCCAGGACTCCCTATGGCCGCCCTCCCTTCGGGTCTTTGCTCAATCGTACCTTCTCACTGAGCCCCGTCCAGATCGCCTTATTTCCTACTGGAACCTGTCCCGCACCCTCACCCTCACCCACCCCTCCTATCCTGGCCCGATTCCTTTTAACTTCCTGGAACACTGGTTTAGTGCTGTCCTTTGTCCATTGCTATCTTCCGCCCTCCCCCACTGGGCGTCAGCTCCCGGAGAGCAGGGCCCGGGTCTGGCTTAGTTCACTGCTGTTCCCAGCACCTTCAAGAGCTCCTGACACACAGCAGGCGCTCTACACGAGCGCACAAACGGAGGACGGCAGCCGCCCACCGTCTGCGGCCGATGCCTGCAGCCAGCAGGGGAAGGCGGCTCCTCAGGCCCAAACCCTGTGACGCAGTCGCCACACCGGGACCCACCTGGAGAGCAGGGACGCGGACACAGTTCACCAGGTACGGCTTGTTGGTCTCCAGCAGGGAGACGAAGGTGAGGAGCTGGTGCTTGCTGCTCATCTTGTCCTTGTCATCTGAAAGGATCAAGAGGACAGCTCAGGCCCACCCTGCCCACCGCTGTCCCACTCACCCCGACACGCGTCCACCCCCAGGCCTTCCTGTCCCCCAGCCATTTAACCATCCACATGAAGAAGACGCGCGCGTGTGTGTAACGAGAAAATGCCTGACCACTGGCTTAGTTTTAAATACTTTGTCATAATGAACGCGACTTTGGCTTTTCGGTGACACTGAGGAACACTGTCGGTTTTGTTAGGAGCGAGAACAGCACTGTGGGGATGCTAAAACCGTCATCGTTATCCTAAGTGATCTGATGACTGAAACGTTTCAGATGCTCCAGCAAAAAGGAAGAAAAACTAAACGGTCAGAAGTGAGGGTTTGTCCACTTGGGTGACACAGGATGGAAGTTTTCAAAATTAAAAAAAGAAAAGGGAAACGTGGCCGGGCAGCTCAGTGGGTTAGTGCTATCCTGATACACGGAGGTTGTGGGTCCCATCCCTGACCAGGGCACACACGAGAGGCGGCCAACGACTGCGTAAATAAGTGGAACAACAAATCCATGTTTCTCTCTCCTGTCTCTAAAATCAATAAAAAAATGTAATAAATAAAAATGAAAAAATGTAATAGGAAAAGGGTAAACTGACTAGGAATTTACAGCAGTTAAAAATTTAAAAGTTTCCGGTTCTATCTTTGTTTAAAATTATAAACCTTATCTTTTTGAGTTAATATTCACCATTTTAGTAAGTGTGTCCCTTTGCTGACAAACAAGGAGAAAATGAGCTGCTTCCCAGCACTGAGACAGAGCGCACGACAAGTGGCAGGTTGCGGGTGGGAAGCCCCGCTGGAGGGCCGGGCAGCACCCTCCCAGGTGGCACCCTCCCGAGGGCACCCCGGGCTGGGACCCGCCTGGCCACCTGCAGCCACTCAGGGAAGCGGCTTTTCAGGCCTGGATTCGACTAGAACAGTGGTCGGCAAACCACGGCTCACGAGCCACATGCGGCTCTTTGGCCCCTTGAGTGTGGCTCTTCCACAAAATACCAACTTCTGCGCATGGACCACGAAGTTTCAATCGCACTGTACGCGTGCCCGCACGTGGTATTTTGTGGAAGAGCCACACTCAAGGGGCCAAAGAGCCGCATGTGGCTCGTGAGCCGTGGTTTGCCGACCACTGGACTAGAAGGTAGGCTGAATCCACGCCTGAACTGTGCCCTCCATGTCCACAGGGGCGGTGAGAGCCCCAGGGCAGCACCAAGCCAGGAGCTCACAGCCTGAAGGCAGATCTCGGGACAGGCTAGACACAGCCCCTAGGCACCACCCTGCTGAGGTCCGCCCCGCACCAAGCAGGTAAACGTGCCACGCCCCCCCCTCCCCCCGCCCCCCGCCAGGTCTGGTTCACGTACCTCGGCTCCCTTCACCGCCCCCGGCCCCCGGCTCCTGCGTGTGCAGCACCTCGGGGCTGCTGGCGAAGACGCAGGTGGGGTGCAGCACGGTGCCCTGCTTGGCCTGGGTGTGGAAAATCTGGAGGCCAAAGGGAGGCGCCAGGTGACAGAGGCCCTCGGGCGTGCTCTGCCCTCTTCCCGCTGTCCTGCCCGAAACGTTCTTCTCCACCCTCTTGGCCAGGTTCCCCCTCCTGCCTCAGAAGCCCCCTTCAGGAAGGCCAGCCTGGCCGGGGCCCCTCTGTGCTCCTCCAGCCCCGGGCTCCCCGCCCCAGCGCCACCACTCTGGGCCAGCTCTCTGGGAACAGTGTGCCGCCCCCACCGGACTGTAGCCCCACACAGAGCAGGGCCGGGAAGCTGTGCTGAGTGAGGCCCACCTGATCCGAGTCCTTGCGGCCGCTGTTGAACGGGTCCGGGATGGCGAGCTGCGGGTAGAGGCCCCGGGCCAGCACCAGCTTGAGCAGGGCCATCTGGTCCCGGGTCAGCGCTTGGGCCGAGCTGGCGGCCGCCTGCAGCTGCTCCAGGTTGTGCCGCAGCTTAAACTTCACATCCTGTGGGAACATCGGGAGGGGATCCCACGGGGCTTGTCTGGGACACGTGGACCCAGAGGTTCTGTAGACTGCTGGGGCCGCACCCTGTCCCCTCAGGCCCCCAAGACGGCCCCGTGGTGCCCCACCTGGATGTCCACATGGTCGCTGGCCGCCCGCGAGGCTTTGCCCTGGTCCTCGTCGCTGGAGCGGCCATCCTCCTCCTCCTGCAGCCGCAGGACCTTGCGCCTGCGCCCCCCTCCCTCCTCGTGCTGGCGCTTCAGCTGGTACAGCTCCCGGCGCTCGCGGCGCTGCTGCAGCCGGCTGTAGCTGTCCCCCGGCTTCGTGGCCTGGGCCCCGGCCAGCAGCCCGTGGTCCTCCAACAGCTCCTGGGGACAGATGGGCCCAGTGAGGGACACAGCGCAGGCCGGGGGGGCAGGCTCTGGACTGACACATTCAAGAGCGGGGCCTGCCACTCACCGGCGGGCAGTGTCAGCCTCTGAGCCACACTTTCCTCAGATGGGAACCGGGGACGCTCCCCATGCCGCCTACGAGGCTGCTGGGGCTGAAATGTGCGGGTAAGAACCACCTTTGCACAGCGCAGGCGCAGATGGCCGCTCCGTGAGAGAGCAGTCGCTGCTGCTGGCCGTTACTTCCCCGGCTGAGGCCCAGAGGGGCCCAGGAGCTTGCCCGGGGTCACACTGCTAGCAAATGGCAGAGCTGGGATGTGCCGCTGGGATGTCTGGCCCCAGATCTGGTGCCTCCTAGCACTCAGCCTGAGCAAGCGCACGGCCAGCTCCGCACCCCTGGCCCATGAAGATGCAGCACATGACCGCTGACCCTGTGTGCCACCCCAGGAGCCCTCCTGGATTTCCACCCCCGCGCCTGGTCGTCAGCTGGTGGGGGAGGAGGGTGCAGGGTGGGACCCTGACCTCTGTGGTAGAGAAGGAAAGAGGCTGCGTTCCAGAGTGCGCTCAGGTGCCCTCACCTGTCTCCCCAGCACCCTGGCCTCCTGTCTGCCTGGGCGGGGCTGACCCCCACCCCTGGTCCTGGGCCTCACCTTGAACTGGCGCCGCAGGTTGGCCATCTCATACAGCCGATGCTCCTCTATGCCCCGGCGGCGGCACCACTTCCGGGAGTTTCTGCTCCGTTCAGATTTCACCTGGTGGAGGTAGATGCCAGGTGTTGGGGCCTGGCCAGCTGGGGGAGGGGCGGGGGGCTGACCGCCCA